TATTCAATCACACACGATCAGCGCGCCGCACGGTTTGTCGGTCATGAAACACAACTCTTTTTTTATAAAGCCGGAAACTTGTGACTAAAAATAAAACAATTTGTCGAATAATTTAAGATCTTTCGATGCTAATATGTGTCTATAAGGTTCCTCTCTCACCAAACTTGTAAAGAAATTTATTGCGAAAAATAATATCTCAGCTCCCAGCCAAGAATTGAGGGGAGAGGTATCTTGTAGAAACATATTAGTATCAAATGATATTTAATTGTTCGTCAATTTAATTAGTTACAAGTTTCCGACTTTGTGCAAAAGAACTGTATTTCAAGACCGACAAACTGTGCGGCGCGCTGATCGTGTGTGGTTGGATATTGTAACAATAAGAATTTTATACACGAACAACTATGTAGGCCCTCATAGACAATTATTTCACTAAACTTGATTTATTCCTTGGAGCCTATTCCTTCTATTTAATTTCATTTAAATAAATTATATAAAAATAATAATTACAGATAATATTGACAAGATGAAGAGAGAGACAAGATTCGTTATTTCCATTACTGTCGTAATGCTATGGCTATTTTGTTATACTATAGCGGGTGTGGATAAACCAGGATGCCGTTGGATGATGGGGGGCGTAAGTATTTATACAATATATATTTGATGAATGATAGTTTTCCGCATTATAAAGACATACAAAGGAAACAATATTAGAGTCAAATTTTTAATTCAGATTGTGTTCTGAGTACAATCTATATAAACTTATCAAGAAAATGTTTTACATCTGTATCGATGCATCCTCAATATTATCCGCAAATTAATATTAATTTTGAATGTCGAATAACACAACTCTAAATATTACATTTTTAATATTTTAGTGTTCCAAGGATGACGATTGCTGTCCTAAATTGGGATGTAAAACAACTAAATTACCGCCCTTTGCAAACCCGTATTGTGCATGGGATGGCACATTTGGAAAAAAGTAAACTAGATAACAGACCTCCTTGTCCTGGATCATATCCACAAAATATGCCAGAGTAATGATACCAAAATAATAATATTGCTTAAAATCCTTCTGTATATTTGACTATGGCTCTATTTCTATTTATGTTTATAAAATAGAATGTAAAATTTCTCTGTTATAACTTTAAATAAATACATTCAAGAGTAAACGCTATTCTCTGTCTTATTTATTAATAATTAATTATATACATGTAATATTGCATATATATTTAAATATAAAATTATTTTAAGATTATTTTAATTAAAACAGCCAATTATCAGCGAAATTATTAAAGGTACAAAAAAAATGTTTCAGATAAAGAATAAAAAAATGAAAACATGCATATTTCTGTTAAAAGCTATGTGTTTTCTTTACACCAATCAATTCATCTTATTATTTTCTGCATAAAAGTATAACACAAGAAAATGATTTACATCTGTATAGATGCATCCGCAATATTAGCTAAAAATTAATATTAATTTTTAATGTCAAATAACACAACTCTAAATATTATAATATTTTAAATATTTTAAATATTTTAGTGTACCAACGATAGTGATTTCTATGCACATTTGGCATGTCATATACAGTTCAAGTGGTGTGTATGAAATGATACATTTGGATAAACTTAATAACAGATCTCGTTGTTCTGAATCATATCCATTCCTGGTTTATTCTGGCAAATATGCCAGAATAATAATACTAGAATGATAATATCGCTTAATATTCTTTTTTATATCTGATTATGGCGCTATTTAACTTCATTTATACGTATTTATAAAATAGACATGAGAAATTTTCTGTTATAATTTTAAATAAATACATTCAAGAGGTTGTCAATATCCTCTGTCTTATTTATTAATAATTAATTATATATATCTATGTATTTATATGAACATTTTTTTATATCTTCGCGGATAATTGAGTTGTTTTAATGAAAATATCTTGTATTTAAAAATATATACATATTATATGTATACACTGACAAGGGAACCTCGCGAAGTGTCAAATTCTGATCTTAACGAAACTTTTTATACATGTAGGTTACCTAAATAGATGAATTTAGAAATTAGCAGTTGCGG